AGAAGCTCCAGGCATTGGTGGAATCCTGGCAGAGGAGTAAGTGGCTTGCTAGTCGACGTCTTTGAAAGACTCACTACGCTGTTTACCTCCTGCAGGGAAGGTGGAGAGGTACCACAGGACCTCAGTGATGTAGTCATTATCTCCCTCCAGTAATCTTAATATGCTTTCGGTGCATCAAAGTTGGAAACAGCGTAATTTGACCTGGAAATCGTTCTGATTGAGACAAAGCTGAAATGAGCGTGACTACCTGCAAACTAGCAGAAAACCTTTTTTGAGTCCAGAACTCTGGAAACAGCACAATTTTCCGGCAAACAAACTTAAACAGGTTTTCTGAAACCTGGAAAATAAAAAAAAGGGAAAAACGTTGTTTATAGAAAGACAATGCAGAAAACAGTCTAATTTACCCAAAAAAGAACAAATTGTGCAATTTGTGCAGTTGTACTGTCTTGGATGCTTTGACTGTTTAACCAATTGAGACCACTAAGCTAGTCTGACTATTTAAACTACTTGAGTCAATTCGGTTAGGTTGTGCCACTTGTGACATGGAATAATTCAAGCCACTTTGACCCTTTTAGATAAATTGTACCCTTTTACTCTTCAACTGTCTTCGCTAGTTTGATCATCTTACCAGGTGATCCGTTAAAGCTAAATTGTGCATTTTCTGTAGTTCAAGCTATTAAACTAGTTGCGCAAATTCTCCAGTTAGTTTGAACATATAGACTACTTTATACAGTCGAGAAAGATTGTGCAATATGTGCAGTTTAACTGTCACTCGTTTAACTATTTGAACTGTTCAACCAATTAAACTAGCTTAAATATTGAACTTCTCGAACCAATTAAGCCTAATTCTGCAGTTTGTGCAGTTGAGTAATTGAAGCTAGTCTGACCATTTGAACTACCTCCACCAATTAAGATAGATTGTGCAATTTGTGTAGTTTAGCCATTTTTGTTGGCTTAACTATTTCAGCAGTTGAACAATTTAAGCTAGGATTGTGCAGTTGAAGCAATTAAGCAGGCTATGGATTTTTAGCCAGTTGAACCATTTAAGCTTGTTTAACCATGTGAACTACTTTAAACCAATTAAGATAGATAGTGCAATTTGTGCAGTTTACTTGTTTCTGTCAGCGAACTTATTAAGCTAGTTATTCGCCGGTTCAACCAGTTTAGAAAGTTAGGCATTATATTATTTAAGCAGTTGAACCATTTATATGTCTTCATCTAACTAAGATAGATTGTGCAGTTTCTGCAGTTCTGGTGTTTTGGCCAGTTTGACCACTAAAATAGTTCAAAAAATTAATTTAATTCGACCATTTCAACGATGTGACCCCATTTTAACTTCTTGGACTAACTAAGCCACATTATAAGAATTTCCCATTCGAATCTTATAAGCTAATTATGCATTTTGTGCAGTAGAATCGTTTAAGCTAAATTGACAAGTTGCACTACTCCCAAGAATTGAGATAGGTTTGGCAATTTGAACGGTCGGTTTGACTTTGTTCGCTTGTTTCCTTCTTTACTAGTGGAATGATGATAGCAGATTCTTCGTGGTGTTCGTCGAAGATTACTGGGAAGAAAGTCCTCAGTGGGTGTAGAATATCTGATGACGAGTGATTCCAATTCTGGATTTACATATTCTTGAGCAGGTGTTGCCAGGGAAGATCTGATCGCTGCATGAGGTTCCTTGATTAGCTGTCTTTTTGACGCTTGTGTTTCTTTTTAGCAATGTTCACTCTAGAGTCCTTGAGCTGCTAAGATCGTCTACCAGTCTCAGTAGTCAACACTAGCCTGTGCCAGCTGTGGCTTCAGCTTGTCCTTGTAGCACTTACGTGGAGCAGGAGCTTCCCTCAGCTGAGTTTGGCAAAGAACACAGCTTTGGGCATCCTAGTGTCGTTCACGCAAGAAACATGGCTGGCCCACCGGAGATGTTGATGTAGCATTGTGGTCTCGATGCTTGGCAGTCCAGCCCGTGCTAGAACCTCAACGTTGGTGACGTAGTCCTGCCACTAGTGAGTTTACGATGCTGTGATTCTAGAAGACGCCGTGGTCTCTCTTGGTGGTCGCGTCGGGCCTGAAGGCTTGTATGTAAAATAGTTTACGATCGATTCCGGTCACGACGACGCGGCGAATAGTATTGGCGGGAAAATTTCGCCATGCGCCAGTTTGAGATCAGCTCACCAAACATCGCAGCCACACGAGCAAGCAGAGTACGTGGAAAGTTTCTTAAGCTTTTTTCTTTTGTAATTAGAAGTTATGCCAAAGTTGAGAGAAACAAGGATCTCCCTTCTTTGTGCGTACGATTCAATTGTCATAAATGATGAAGAATTTGTTTTGCTGTACGATATCACTACCACAAAAAGGCCTAACTTTCCTTACTGGAAGTACGAAGCTATTGAACTCGACATGATGTCTGACGATGAATGTCAAGCTGAATTTCGCTTTTACAAGAATGATGTGTATAACTTAAAGGAAGTCTCGAATATCCCAGAGGATTTTACATGCTGGCGACAGGTAGGCACACCATGTGTATTTTATAGTCGCTAGCATGTAAATTTTACGGGACTTTCAGTTCGTTCCACGATATTAGAATGACACAAATACACAAAGAAACTTATACAGTAACTTTAGAACTATTCTTTTGCCTTTTAAAAGCTAGAAGCTCAGTAGATTCTGTAATATCGGTCATTGTTAAAACTGTCTTTGTTTTGATGCTTTTTTTCGACATGTAAAAAGTATGTCAGACAAAAATATTCACCAAAAAATAAATGTTTCTTTGCCAGCTTCAATAATGACAGGGGATTAAGTTTAGATGATAAAAAAAAGGATGATGTCGACAGAAATACCGGAGATCCGGTAAATTCGTTACATGAGGTCACACAACTCGGGTAATATTCAGGGTAAAAGTTTGCATATTTAAGCGGTCGAACGAAAAAAATCATTTCTCGAAAACGAAAATACATTTTCACAAAAAAAAATTCACCAAAGTTAGTAGGATATATTGGGCTACAAAATATGAAAGTAGAAGAGAAAACTAATTTTGAGTGACTTGCCGCTATTTGTCTGATGCACGTTGACATTAGCTCTTAACACCTTTTCACTAAACTGCGTGACGTATGCAAATATTTAGTTCTGATTTCGCACGAAATGACTTGTACAATAACTGGTTAAGCGCACTGATATTTGATTTGCTTCCAGGTGTACTTCATTTCATAAAGGGTCCGAGATGTGTACATACGTATTCCGAGGTACTGAAATTAATATGTCTCTACTGTTCCTCTTCAGCTTTTCGTGAGATAAATCCCTCTGACACGAGCTGTCTCCTCGATGATCGCTCCTCCAATCATAATAGATATGCTTTGCTTTTTTTTCGGTTTTAACTTGAAGGAAATCATTATTCACTTTAGACTGGACTCTCTATGGATTTCAAATTACTCGTTTTGAATGATGCATAGAATTCTACATGAACTCTTCCCTATTATGGATATGTGAAGGCAGCCTCAAAAAAAGAAGCGATAGCTCAAAACCTCAGAACAGATGTTTTCATAAATTTGATAATTATTGTCTACGTGTATCAAGGAATTAAAGAAGGTAAAATGTTCTGATCTTCAAGATATTGTTTTGCCACGAGAGACCCTGCGACGATTACTGAAAACCTCATCGGTTCCGAGATCACTTTCTTTAAAACCCATCTGATTCCAGCTGCATACATGTTAACTAATACATGTTACCGTTGTAGTATAAGTAAATGTTTTCACAACCTTTTTCAGTCCGAAATTTATATTATCAAACAAATTAAAAATTGTTGGAGATCAATCCATTCGTCTAACACCCTTCTTTGCATTCCTAACTGGACTTCAGGATCTTTCAGATGAGGGCCCCGTAGGTGCTTCAGGCTTTATTTTTAGTAGTGCCATCAGCTCCTTCCTTTTGTAGTACACCCAATCCGGTAAAACAACTGTATTTCTGGTTGGAAGAATTTGTGTTAGATAAATATACTCTAGTTATAACCGCTTAGCAACTAAAAATTAAAATACATGATTATTACAAAAGATAATATCAATAATCAGATTAAAAGATCAAGACTAGTTTAAAACAAGTTTTTATAAAAGTTTGTCTGTATCTTAGTTACGTTTGTAAAACATTTGTCAAGGAAATATTAGAATCTAGTATAATAGTTTAGGCTTTAATGGAATTCAAAGTCATACAACTGTGTTGAGAAATCTCTTCATTTTGAACACGGGTTGAAACTTCAGTTTGTTTCTTAGGTTCAAAGTACTAGTGTTACGAGCAGGAAGAAGGTCAAGGAGCTTGTTCTTTTCCCTTTGAACACTTTTCTCTAATAGTTTATCAACTAGTTTCTAACTGCGATGTATATAACATCGAAGACTTCATTGCATTCGACTCTTGCACACCGCATGTGTGTGCTCTGCGTGTTTTGCATAATGTGCAAGCTTACTTACGTACACACGATATAAAATACAATAGGTGCTAATGTTACATCCCCTTCTCTTAAAATTATGTTAATTGAAACGGAAACAAACAAAAAGGAAAAAAACATATCTTCGAGCCAATGTCTAAGGTATAAGTATCTTATATACAAGATACTAGTCATACTACTATGATTGTATAATATGATGATTGTTTCGTCGAGAAATTCTATAATTGATCATTAAGTTAATTTATCCGCTAATGAGATACGTTATAGTGATGTCATAATACTAATGTAAGTCATTTGTCAGCTGTGGACCTAGCCGACTCACTGGGTAAATATCAAATCGTTTCGTATACTTTATTATCTGAGGATTTCATAACAATGTAACTTCCTTTTAGGATTCGAACGCAGTTCTTATTGTCTGGCAGTAAGGTCGTCAATAAAGATGTTTGATAACAGTGAACCAAAAACCCACAACTGACTACTAGTGCAAGAGTAAGAGGCTAAGTCTTTCCGGTGCTCGAATTTCATGTCCCGAGCGAGATTTTCTTGGATCCTTCTCCGTTTCTGTTTAGGTGGAACATTGTGGATTGGCGCTGGAGGGTTGTAAGGTTAAACTTCCTTGAGGAGTGCAAGTCGACAAGTTGTTTGCTAGGTTGTTGGAAGCACTGTTTGGTCTAAGATGGATCCCATTTCTTCGTAGTCGAGCACCAGTTTCAGTTTCTATAGTACATAAGCGGGGCGTATCTCCCTGATCTATGACTCTAGCAGGATTCCACGTCTTTCTCACGGGATCTTGTGCATAGATGGCTTGGTTCCCGTGTAGTTCAGAGAGTTCTTTAATGTGCCTCTTGTTATAGTAACACTGGTTATCTTGTCTCGCTTTGAGCCAATTTTTAACTTCTTCTTGGTCCTTTGATGGCTGGATCTTGCCGGGAAGTGTGGATTTGAACATCCGGCCATTCAGTAATTCAGCTGGTGATGGCATATTTGAGCTGAGGGGCGTTGTACGTAGAGCCAACAGGGCTAAATCGATGTAGTCTTTAGTCTCTCTGGATTTCATGATCGTCTACTTAACCGTCTGGACTTGGCGTTCAACGAACCCATGGCCACGTGGGTAGTGGGGGGAACTCACCGGATGTAAATTGAGTACCGTTCTCACATTGAAGAGATTTTGGGATTCCATTTTCTGCGAATAGCATTTTTCATCTCCTAAGCGACGGCTCTGGTTGAGAGGTTGTGAAGCTTCTTAACAAATGAGAATTTAGAGTAGTAGTCGAAACTATGAGGAACCAAGACTGTTGTACATTGAGCAGATCTGCGCTCACTGTTTGCCACGGTCTTGAAGGGATCTCTAATGGTATCATGGGCTCCTTTTGTTGAGAATTGTGATATTTCTGGCAAGCGCTACATGAGTTTACGAGATTTTCTGTTTCTCTGTACATGCCTGGCCAGTGAACACAGGATTTGGCTCGTAGCTTGCATTTTTCTGTACCAAAGAGCCCTCTGTGGATTTGCTGTAAGATGTTGCCTTTCAAGAACTCAGGCACTATAAGCTTCCAAGAAGTATCAGCCCGTCTTCTACTGATATGTCATCTCGTAAGGGCTAATTTTCCTCATTCTATCGGGCCAACCTCATACAACTTGTTGAGATAGAAGCTATAAGGTTTCATCTTTTTCAGTTTCTTCTTTGAACTCTTCCGTTTTAGCTGGGGTGATTCTAATAAGGTGACGAAAGGCGTGACAGAGCGTCAGCTGCGACTATTTCTTCTCCTGGAAGATATTTAACAACGCAGTCGTAGGGTTGTAGACGCAACACCATTCTGTGAAGGCGTGGTGGTGCTTTCATCAGGTTCTTTTTGTGGATCTGTTCTAGCGATGGATTGTTTTGACTACAAACGATCTTCCGTAGAGGTACGAGTGGAACTTTTCGCAGCCATGGACCACTGGTATTAGCTTTCGTTTAATATTGGCATATCTGGTCTCCGTAGGGGTAAGTGCTTTCGATGGAAAGGCTATCGGCTTGTTGTTTTGGAACAGACTTGATTGATGCGTCAACGAGAAGGGCAACTGGTTCGTTTCTGTCATAGTAAGCCAGGGTCGTTGTGGTACATATCGATGACTTCACTTTCTTAAAGGCTTTCGAATGTGATGAGTTCCACGCAAAGTCAACGTTCTCCTTTAGGAGATTTCCTAAAGGGGGCAGTGTGATCAGCTAAATTGGGGATGAATGAGCTCATGTAGGTTGCCATCCCTAAAAAGTGTGAAGCTCCTTCTTGTCTTTGGCTGGTTCTAGATTTTCTATGGGTCTGACTTTGTCTGGGCTGGGCTTGACACCGTCTTTTGATAACGCACTTCTTGTCAGTGAGCTTGATGCCAGTTTTTCTGGTACGTTTCATGGTGTTATGTAGGTGATGTTATGCTCTTTTTCATTATTTAACGTCAGCCGCCGATGGCTCCTTGGCAATCACGACATGTCTCGTAGATCTTGAATTGAAAGATATCTTGGCTCATTCGTAAGCCAAATGGCATCCTAAGGAAACGGCATCGACCAAATGGTGTATTAAAATTTGTTAGGTATGAAGATTCTTCATATAATTTGACATTCCGATAGCCATTGCGGGCATCGAGCTTGCTAAAGAGCTTTCCTCCTGCTAATTTGGGTGCAATTTCATCTAAAGTGGGTATAGGATGATGTTCTTTTTTTATCGCCTTATTCAGTTCCTTAGAATCGAGGCATAAACGAGGTCGCCCATTTTCTTTTTCTCTAATAACCAGGAAGTTAACCCAATCTGTGGGTTGTGTTACTTTTGGCTTTCCATCTCATGTAGTTCGACTTGTAGTTTGTCTTTCAAATCTATGGACACTTTGCTGGGTGCGTGGACCACCGGTGATACTTCAGGATCTAGTGTGATATCATACGTATAGTTTTCAAAACATCCAACAATGCCATTAAAACATTCTAGGTACATTCCCATCAATTCTTGTTTATTTCTGATTGATGGCCGTTCTTTCAGTGGTACTTGGCTTCCGATCTAATTCGGGCTTTCTTGCCAGTACCTGAATTTTGAGCTGGAACATTGAAGCTGTTAGTTAGATCGGCCTGGTCTAGTTAATTTGTTCTGAGTGAACAATGTAAGGAGACTAGTTTCAGTGCAGTGCACGCTTTTAGACCGAGAATAGCTGGCCCTGAAGTGTCTGTGACTGATCTTCTTCTCTTTGTACTTACAAGGAATATTTATGGTGCCGAGCGACTTTATTATAGAGCCGCCATATGCTGAAAGGATGGCTTGGTTCTTTACCAGTGTTTCTGGTTTGGGAATTCCTTCATCGTCAAAACTTCTCGGGACGATTATGCGAAGTTGTCTGATAGGCAAAACGGTGTTCTATGCACCTTTGTCTACCTGGCACTGGAGATAAATTTTCCTTTTCTTCTCTGGCTGAGTTATCTCAAGTGTTGCAAAGGTTTCATCTCGTGTATCGTGTATCGTGTATCAAATGTCGCGTGTCTTCCATGGCGTCGACCTCGATGGTACTGATTTTCAGGATTTCATCGTCATCATCGTCGCTCCTATCCTCAATCGTGTGAATCACTTTTTGAAGACCGGCTTTGTTCTTTGGTTGAATTGTTTCCGTTTGCCGAACCGGCAAACAGATTGCCAACGATAAGCTGCCACCATGCGATATACAACATCGAGGACTTTATTGCATTCGACTCTAGCACATCAGCTTACTTAAATATGTGCACACACGATATAACTCACAATAAGTGCTAATTATCACGTGCTAATATGTTACACTAACGGAGATCTGAAAGTTTCACTAGGCCAGATTTAGCCAATGCCTCATTATATAAGAAAAAGGGAAAGATGATTTACATAGCTCGCTTTTGTGCTCTTTTGAGCTCGTTGGAAGGGTACGTGATTGTACGAATGCAATTGCAGAAAAACAGAACTAAATCAGGTAGCAAGAACAAAGCGTTTAAACTGATACAAGCTATACAAGCGCTTCTTGGCTTTCTTGATAATGAAGTCAATGTGACAGTTCCCATTTCAAATCTTTGGAGATGTTGAGGCCCAGTATTTTGGAACTGACAACTAGATCAATAGACACACCGTTAACAAAAACTGGATCGAATAAAGTGGTGTTGTTAGTGATAGAATATATACACAGTTCCTTGAATTTCGTCTCGTTTAGTTGAAACTTATCCATGGACGAACGATGTGCTAGGATTTCAACAGCAGCTTAGATATGACTGTCTTGATTCTTGCATATTGTCTCCGAAATACTCGTATTGTCAGCATACTTCAACAGATCGGTGCCAGGAATATCTAGCTTGTTGATCATTTCGACGATAAATTCTTCAATTCTAGCATGCAATGTTTTGTTCGGGGACGGTGTTAATGACCAAGCGTTCGCCGGAACATCCTCCCCCTCGACCAGGATTCCGTTCTGATCCTTTCGTCCTCTTTTTATCTCTAACGGACACAACTTTTTGATTGGTCGCACATAATCTTGGTCTCCTGTTCTAACGCGTACAACTCTGACCTTCCCGTCAGGGCCAGGAAAAACCTCTTGAATTCGATCTAAAGGCCAATGCCCGCGTGGGTTGCCGGGATCCACCATCAGGACTACATCACCGGTATCATCAATTAATGATCATCCATTGTGGAACAACATATCCTCCAGGTCGAAATTAACTGATAGCATTAATTGCTAAATGGCACCAAATTAACAGATATCGATAATCCCGCCAAGTGGTGTGCTCGGGTTAGACTGGTGCCCATAATGTCGTCAAGAGATTTCGAAAATCAGCATGATCTCGACACCGAAATAATGATTATCGTTACTTCTTAATTGGCCCTGAAATAATGAATAGCATTATTTCATGGCATGTGTGAGACCTTCGGGCTCGAAGCTTGGGAACTAGTATACAGGGAAAGATAAAATGGCGGCGTACGGCGGCGAAGGAAATCTCAGTAGTTTAATATTTTAGCGTGAAAAGGCTTGGGTGTCGTGATCTGGTTCTCAAGTAAAAAAAATCACTATCTGCAATGGCTCTACCACCTTTTGAACAACAAGAAAACATTGAAACGGTGGTAAAAAAGCAGCAAGTTTCGAAGTCTAAACATAAGATGGGTAAGCTGAATTTCATTCAAATATCATGACATTTGGGATGTAATTTCGACTACAAATAATTATATAATAAGCTCAGTTATGCACGCGTTTTGATTGGTTCTCACTTATGATCCATTGGAGGACAGACGTATAGATGACGTCATCATTAAAACTTTTTAAAATTCTTTATTATATAAAACAAATAGATTCCAAGTTGCCGTGCGTCTGTTCAGTAATAGATCACAGAGGACGTCAAAATGTGGTAAGAACATCAGTGACACACTCGGCTGTGCCTCGTGTGCCACTTTTTTGTTCTTACCACATTTTGACGTCATCTGTGATCTATTACTGAACAGACGCACGGCAACTTGGAATCTATTTGTTAAATAGATTTACATGATTACACACGCAGAGGATTCTGTTGTGTTCACGTGAAGGCCATTTCAGCTATTCCTGCCACTTTTAAGTTGAAGGAAATAAAAATATGCATACTTGTTTCGTATTGAGGCCTTGTGAAATCACAAATATGATTTATTTCTTCTTTGTTTTAGGTGGTCATTATCCATTATTATTTGGAAGTCGATGCTGACGAGAAAGAAAAAATGTTTATGGTTATTTCCTCTCTCAAACATTTTACCATTTAGGTACCAAATAATCTTGATACTGAAGATCATTGCATCCTATTATGAAAAATTTACCCCTGATTGCTTTGTCAACTTGAATGTATGATGTAATATAGCTTGTGATTTGTGGGATTTTCAAAAGTATACTAGAACTACCTAAAGAGGATAATGATGTACTTAATGCAGAGCATTTTGGTACAGGGCTGCTTTGCTCTAATCTACCTGAAAGTGCTTTTTATATGCTAGTAACACTTGCACAGCCCAGTTGAAATGTTTTTGAGTAGTAAACAAACTGGCTGTAGTAATTATAGGCAGCAGAAGC